TTGTTTTCTTTTTTTTTTCTGTTTTAGTTTTTTTTTTTTTTTTAAATAAAAAATTTCTAAATGTTTTTTGATAAGAATTTCAACCCACATTACTCAATTACTTTTGAATACAATTTCTATAACAAACTGATAATCAATTACAAACTTGTAAAAGTTATTAATAATAAAGAACATAAGTCTGATAAATAAAATTGTATATATAGAGAAGTAAATGTGGGTTTAGTAGAAGAAAAAAAGGGGCAGAAAAAAAAGCAGAGAAAAGGGTAAAGTGATGATTAAAGAAAAAGATAATAATAAAATGATACAAAATAGTGATATAGATACAGAATTACAAATATTAAAATGTTTTATCTTTAATCCTATTCAGAATGTTCAATTGTTTTACAGAAAATATTTAATACTTTTTTTAAATATATATTAATTAGAAATCATTATTTTACTTTCATTTTTTTAATTATTTTTTACTAATAAATAATTGAATTCAATAGTTGTAAATACTAATACATATAAACAATTAAAAGATCAAGATAGTAATCATCTATAGAATTCATTAACTTAAAAAAAGTTAAAAATTTAGCTTGGGTTGATTATCTATATAGAAGTTTATAAAATTAGTGTTGTAATAAAAAAAAAAGATATATAAAATTAAAATATTTATATAAATGATTAGATTTTAACAAATTAAATATTTTTTTATATTTTTTATTCAAATAAATCTTATTTATTTTGATTTTTCAAAGTTGAACTATTTGCATCATATATACAAGATACTATTAAAAACCTTTATGTTTTTAGCTCTAATATATCTATTGATAAAATAGTTATATGTTTTTTAGATCAAAATACTTATATAATAATTAAAGAATAAACTAATTTTAAAGAATTATAAGATTATTTTACTATTTGATTATAATTATATATAGATATTTATATTTACTTCATATATTGAAAAGAATACATCTTTAAGAAAAATTCTTAGTCTTAATTATACTGAATACATGGTTATGCATTTAGTTAGTAAACTTTTTTGTAATAAAATATATTATATATATATAGATAATTACTTTTTAAACATACCTTTTTTTAAATATTTACATAAAAATAATATTAGTACTTATAGTATTGCTTGTATTATTTCTGTTAAATTTTCTAAAGAATTAAAAAATAAAGAATTATTATTAGAATGAAATATATTTTTAAATAAAGTAATAAATAACATTTTGGTTATTCTATAAATTGATAATGGTCTAGTAATTATGCTATCTAAAATTTATAAAATATCTAAAAATAATTATAAAATTATTTATAACTAATGATATTTATATAAAACTAGTTCTAATACAATTATAATATATAATATTTTTGACAATGCATATTAGAAAAAACTAGCAATTTTATGAATAATTAATAATTATAATTATTATATAAGTAGTGTTTATATTGTTAATTAACTTTGTTAGCTAACAGTTAGATATATTTGGTTTTCTTTATTTTTTTGGATCTTGAATACTATATTTGTAAACTTTATACTTCTTTATTATAAAATTACTGATATAAATATTTCAAGTAGACCTTTAGAATTGATAGCATAGCAATTATGCTTTGAGGTTATAAATTGCAAGGTTGCCAGTTCAAATCTTAGTAATGGCAATTGTAGAGATATATTTCTAAAATAGAGAACTATAACACTATAGGACTAAGTATCCAAAATGTCAATAGATAGACTTATTTCTAAAAATTACAAGTAATCTGTGAGTAGAAAGCCATGCAATAATAAATATGAGTTAAAGCTTAATTTGAAATAATCAAAGTTATAAGACATAATGTAAGACTGAAAGTTTAATACTTATAGATACTATATAAATTATAATAATAACTGATTCTAAACAGAGTCTGGTACAACCTACTAATCTTGACAGGAGTTAGTATGATAAATTGTTTCTAAAAAGTTTAAAAGTATAGCTAAAAAAGATTAAGGTCTAGTGATCTTCAATATTAAGTATATTGTTTTGAAATATGTACAAATACTAAAGATCTTGACAAAATTGTCAAAAAGAAAAAAAAAAAATATTTCAAATAAAGAATTCAAAAATAATTTAGAATAAAATTTAATTAAAAATACTTTAAATAATAAATTATCTTAAAATAAATATCTTTTTAAGTACTGTCAAAGAAAAAAAAAGCTACTCTTGTTATTAAAAATTTTGAATTATTACTAACTTATTTATTAAATGAAGATTATTTAGTCAAATGAATGCAAGATACTACTTACAACTGCCAATCAACCACCAATACAAGAACTTCCAATTTACTTGTTACAAGGACATTATTTTATTAATCTTACCAACTTCTGCTTTTTATATTCATTCTCATAATACAAAAAGTAATTTTGTCACATCTAATTCAGGAAGTTAGCAGTGTACTTATGTATGTACATACTTATCAAACTACTTCATATAATTTAAACTGTACATTTTATTTCCAACACGCCAACTGTCTAATTTATCTTTAATGTGATACCAGCAACTATCATGACAATACATTAATTGTAATTAGATAAGACAAAGACAGAGAGCAAAATCCTAATACGTTTTATTTGATCAGTAAGGCAAGGAACTAGTATGTAAATACTTGTATGTATGTTCATCAAAGTTAATTTATGATTAAAACAGAAGGATCTGACCAATCATTTGATAATAAAATTTCCAGGCAAATTTGCCTGGAAAACAGTAGAAGATTTTTTTTAAAAAAAGTTGATATCATTAATGTAACGGTAACGGTAATTTAGGATCGTCGATCTTAGACATTTATATCAACCTTTTTTTAAAAAAAATCGTCTACTGTTTTTCAGACAAAATTTGCCTGGAAATTTTATTATCAAATGATTGGTTAGTTCTTCCGGTCTAAAAAAATCAAGCATTAGGGGGCTTTTACTTATTAGAGTTGTGTTATGATAACATTTATTAAATAATTTAAAATTTTGCCTGGAAAACAGTTTAAGGGATAATATAATTTTTATATAATTTGCTTATTATAAATTTTCTTTTATTTTTAATTATTGTTAAATAATTGACTTAAGAATAATTAAATAAAATTCCCACAAAAAGGTTACATTAGTTAATAATTGTTAGCATCCAAATAACAAGACCTGAATCTTCTTAGTAAGCAATATCATTATTGCAAATGTTGATCTTAGTCATAACATGCAAAGTGCGCAATAAAATGATATAGATGCTATTAAAAGTAACCATAAAGGTCAGCAATCTGTGTTGAGTTAACCTAGATAAATAGGTAGTAATAAAATTCTTCATATACTAAAATTGAAAAAGTAAGATTTTCGCTTTTTTGATATTGCCACATCCTTGTTAATAAAATCAAATATTACTGTAAATTCAGAACTTGACTCTTCGTTTACATTAATTGAAATTTATTCAAATACACGAATAAATAAATCTAATATATAAATAAGTATATATAAAAACAAATACAAAATATCAAGTATTTTTAACTTATAATTATGTATTATAACCTATATAGTTAAAATCATTTTGCTAAAAGCTATAGAGAAAAAAATCAAATGTACGGTGACAAATATTCCATAAAAATGGACAAATACATGAAAAATTCGTTTATAGTTTTGATTGAGTCTTTTCATCAAATGTGGCGACTGATGTTCTTTTACTAAATGGATGCTAGATATATAATAAAATTAGTAATTACAACTAAAAGACCAAGCGGTTCCACAAAACTTTAAATAACTTACCAGTACTTTTGCTCCAGAAATATTATCATCAGATTCTCGAAGGTCCAAAGGAACATATGATCTAACAGTGGGGCCAACATAAACTTGTCTTGGTCTCCAAATTTTAGAATCTTTATCTTCTAATGATTCTTTCCAATGGGCTAACCATCCAGCAACTCGTGGAATTGCTAAAATAACAAAGAAATAAATATTCAAATACTTAAATGTTATAAAGATGTGCAAATACTTTAAAAAAAAATTTTTACCAAAAAGCACAGGAAACATGTCAGTTGGAAAACCCATGGCTTTATAAATTAACCCAGAGTAAAAATCAACATTAGGATAAAGCTTTCGTTGAATAAAATATTCATCTCCTAATGCTGCTTTTTCCAATCCAATTGCAACATCTATAAGAGGTTCACGACCACAGATGTCAAATACCTGGATGTGAAAATGGTTAGATAATTTATAAATCATGAAATATTCAACATGAAGCTTATTACCTCATAAGCAATTTTTCTAATAATTTTTGCTCTTGGATCATAATTTTTGTAGATTCTATGCCCAAAACCAAATAATTTCCTTTTTCTTTCTTTAACTTCTTTTAAGAATGTCGGCACTTTATCGAGCGTGCCAATTTCCTCTAACATTCTTAATACAGCTTCATTAGCACCACCATGGAGAGGACCATATAAGGCAGCCGCAGCTCCCGATATGGCACTGTAAGGATCGACACGTGATGAGCCAATATGACGCATCGCCGCCGTTGAACAATTAAGCTCATGATCTATAAAAGTAATAAAATTGTTAAATTACACTATATAGATAAATATAAAGTATTATTATTCTCACCTGCATGAAGAATGAATAAAATATCAAGAGCCCTGGACAATGTTGGATTTGGTTTATAGTTTTTTTCGGCCAGATGATCAAGCATATATAAAAAATTTTCTGTATAAGAAAGACTGTTTTGGGGAACATTGTAACTTCTACATTATTGTTAAAATCAATAAATAAATTAGAAAATATTATTAAGTGATTTA